CTCTCCCCACTAAGACACTAATTTCTTGGCACTAGAGACTTCATCTTAATTTACCTCTTAATGCCAGGGAACACATTCAATAAATGAAGAGTAAATGAATAAATTAAAAAGGAAAACCTTAATATTTGAGACTAACTGAAAGAATAGCTCACATGATGGCTTATAAAACAGTTTTAAAGATGCAATTTTATTACTATCACATATCTAAAATAATCAACTACACAATAACAAAGTATTTTCCAGCATAGGTTCTTCTACTTAAAACAAGAAAATCATTTGAAACTGGCATATATACAACCCTACTTACAAACTAACAATTCAATAGCTTATAAAGTTATAAAGATGGGCAGAAAGTGGATAATTGAAATCACTCATTTATTTTATGTTTGAGTTTTTGACAATAAACATATATTCCTTTGGTAATCATTAAAAAATTTTAAAGTTACGTAACAATTCCATAAAGAAAACAAAAGATGGATTATCATTGCCTCTTAGAAATTAAAAATAATTATTTCTCCTAAGCACCTTTGGAACATGCTTCTGTGTCTGACTGACCAAAAATGAAAATAATGCCCTAAATGGAAACAAATAGTGAAAGGCAAGACTAAAACGAGTTCCCCTCCCTTTACCCTGCACTGCTCCCTTCACAAACATCTTTTCTTGCCCCACTAAGTAAGCAGATACCAGCTAAAGACTTTCAATTTTACAATGCTATTCCTGTTAACCTGTTAAATTTTTCCTTAGAAAATAAATGTATCCAAAATCGTGAGAAAAGGACAATAGGGAAAAAAAGAAAAATATTCCTCTAATTTCCTTAAAAAAGTAAAACTGCATTTAAACCATCACAATACTCCATTTTTAAAAAGTTTGTAATAGTTGTATGGTTTTTTTTTCTCCTTTTCTTTACAATCCAGGCAATAATTTAATAGATGGAGAAAAACACAAGTATTAACTGAGATCTTTTCAATACAGAGATCAATCTCATGTTGGTAATGGTGTAGGAAAAGAAAGGAGAAGGAAAAAAAGAAAGAGTAAACCCCAAAATTTAACTCAGCAAAATGTCTTCTTTGGGCATTTGGTATTTGGCAGATTTGTTAAGCAGCTAGACAATTTCAGAAAAACATATGTTTCCCAAAAAAGATCCTCAGATTACTAAGTACTATTTTCAAATATCCTCTATCTTCAGAAGCAATTCTGTGAAATAGGTAGGGCAGGCATTATGCTCCCTATAGAAAACTAAACTGAGTTCAGTTACTTTTTAAAATGGGCAATAATTTCTACTCTACTCCTTCACCAAAAATTCATAAAGACAGAGCTAGAGGCCGGGCGCTGTGGCTCACGCCTGTAATCCCAGCCCTTTGGGAGGCCAAGGCCGGCAGATCACGAGGTCAAGAGATCAAGACCATCCTGGCCAACATGTTGAAAACCCGTCTCTACTGAAAGTACAAAAAATTAGCCGAGCATGGTGGTGCGTGCCTATAATCCCAGCTACTCAGAAGACTGAGGCAGGAGAATTGCTTGAAACTGGAAAACGGAAGTTGCAGTGAGCCGGGATCGCCCCACTACACTCCAGCCTGGCGATGGAGCAAGACTGCTCTCTCTCAAAAAAAAAAAAAAAAGATAGAGCTAGAATAGACTTTAGTGTTCCTTTTACAGTTAATTTTCTCCATTTTACAGATGAGGAAAAGTAAAGCTCAAAAAAGTTAAATTACCTAACCAATGTTAGAGAACTCTCAGTGACTGAATATTGGAATGCAAAGTCTCTTAACTTACGACCCAGTGCTCTCAATCCCACCAGAAAACCTGCTATGCTAGAACCTTTAAAAATGTTACAAATCTCCACATAAGTGAGTGACATTATTAGATCTGGAAAAGGGAAGCCATATATTTAAAACAAATTTTTAAAAAAAGGAATTAAGCAACAAGTAAATTTAAATGTAAAACTACCAATCACCTTCACGTCTTTTCCCTAAAATCTGCTTTTATGTGTTCTTACATCCTCCATCAAACTACAAGTTCCCTAAAATTCCCATAAATTGTAAATATTAAGATCTCAAAAATTTTTGACTGATGAAATTAAAAAAAAATTCTTCAGTAATCATGCTCCAACTCCCCTAATAAGCGTCAAAGCATATTATTAACAATACTAAGTTATTTTACTTAACTATTTTTCATTGTATACATTCACTAAAATATCATTTCCACTGTATACTTCCAATTGAAACAGAGGAATTAGATCCGGCAGACAATCTAATGCACTTGCATTAACAAAAATGTGATAATTGATCGGTAGACATGTGTTATAGGTGGAACTTTTTTTTTTAGGACTAGAAGAGGTTGAGATTGAAAAGATTATGTGGTTTATAATGCCGTAAGAATGCAGACAGCATGAACCTAATAAACACATGGTGAACAGATCTTACTCACTTCTTTGGCAAGATATCTGAACAAATGTTTCAGTCCCTAGCCAGCTGGGAAGATATGCCAGATTCACCGACAATTCTATAGGGTGAAAGATCCAAAATCTTATCTGATCCATTTACATGCAAAATTACACAAAGGGAGCAAACCCAAGACTATTATTATTAAAAATCAGAGCACACAGGTTTTGAGACTGCGGAGGCAAATGATTCATTCATTTCAACATGGCCTAACTAAAGATGTCTAGTATCAAATAAGGCCCTAAATACTCTAGTATTTCAAAAATTACACTGTCGTTGCCCAGAGAAAACTCACACTCAAGCAAGGTAGGCAATGTATTTCTTAAGAAGCTACAAATATAAGGCAAGTGCTAAAATATAACATTTCAATAAATCAAAATATTTGACATGGATATAATAATGATCACATTTAACTCAGTTTAACTTTCACTAGTTCAATAATACAAGAGCCTGAAGCTTCTCAAAACAGGAAGTGATAAAAACAGTGCTTTTGAGAAATGGCAGTGAACTGGAGTTATAAGGGTTCAAATGCCCAGAATTTCATTTAATCTTATTTATGAAGGTGGAATATTAAAGTTTGATTATATTTATCCTATAAAAATGTTTAATTAATGCTTAGAAAAGGTATTTTGCCCAATTACCCAAATCACTTTTGATGTTACTCTCACTTCCTCTTTTAGAAACCATTGTAACCATTTCCTTTAAACCACAATACCACAGGTCTAGTAAATTTTATAATGTTTGACTTGCTCGTTTTTTTGGACAAAATTCATATAGGAACCAATTTCGAAGTTTTTTAAGCAATATAATCTCCCCAAACAACTTAGATCAATGCAACCTCTAAGTAATACTACTTAAAACTGAATTATTCCCAACCTATATAAATTTATAACCAAGGCTCCTTGGTAAATGCAGAGGAGCTGCTTTGTCATGACACTGAGCTCCTGCCACATAAGTAACAAACTGAATAAGCATGCTGCAGTTACTCTCCAGATTGCACTTTAGAGTAAGCAATCCTTTCAATCAGGTGAGCAACCACATTTTTGTCCTTATCCAAAATTTATCATCATTAAACACTCTTTAGAATTACAATGGCAACATCAAATTGGAAAAGTAAATCAATTTTACACTCAAACTCTTGGATATGAATTTCAAAATATATACATATATTTCTTCAGAAGCCCTCTCAAACTACAATCTATTGCTATGATTAAACCAAAAGGTAACATTCACGATATATTAAAAAGCCACAAATATAGGTATGAAAACATGACATTAAAGACAAATTATAAACTCAAAGGATCTAGAATGTCCAAAAATCTCTTTTTCTCTTTATGTTTGTTTAAAACTTAGCAACCTTGCCTTAAGAAGAAAGTCATTTTGTTGTTTTGCCCCAGGATAATGAATGTAATATTTGTTCTATCTTTACATGGACTTTTCTAAACTTCCAGTGCAGTCTTCCACTCCTTACTGTACTGAGGACATGTAAAAGCCTTTCAATGAGCCTATCAGCTATAGCTGCTCAAATTATCAGACTATGCTATAAATCAGCAGTAATAGCAACATTTTTGCGTTTTGCGGTTTTTATTTTATACAGACACCGAACTTTAAGAAATGGTATAGGAAAATCTAATATGAGGAGGAGCACAGGGGAAAGCATAGAATGTTGTTTTTCCAGTTCTAGTGACTCACAGCCTAGAAGTATTTCAGAAAATTGGTTCCACCCTCACTTCCCCCTCCTCTCCACCTTCAACATGAAATAATCTCAAATCGTCAACATATTCTCAATGGCTATTTAGCAATCTAAAGTGGCAAAGTGGAGAGAATACGGGATTCAACCAATCAGCCCTTCCCTACCCACATTCCCACACCAAAAAATTGGGATGTGGGGTGTAATCCCTGTTCACTGCTGCCATCTCCGCCAGAATATGGAACACTCAAGTTTTCCTACCCACCTAGAATTTCGCCCACCCACCACCCTCCCTTTCCTATGGGTCCCGTCCTGGGGGCGGGGGCGCCGAGGATGGGCAACTCGCGGCTTACAGCGACGCCCCCACCCAGTGCTGGGCCCAGCGCCGGATCCCGCCGCTGGGAGCCGGGAAATGGCCTCTCTGCCTTCGGCCGGCCGGCGAACCACCAGGAGAGGCGCCTGGGACTCCGTATTAGGCCGCTGTGCATCCAGGCGACCCCAGGTCGGGCCTGGAGCAGCAACGCCGAGATTTCTGCACCCGGCGCCGCCCGCCGCCCCCCAACCCCACGGCCTCCCTTGCCCTCCATCCCTCCCAGGCCCGCCCGCCCCCGCCGCGGCCTCCCCGGCCCGTGCGCACCTTCTTAATGTTGTAGAGGCGGGTGAGCATGCCGACGCCCCGGTCGTTCAGGATGGTGAGCTTCTCCGCCAGCTTCTGCTGACTGGGCTGCAGCACTGAGCGCGACATGGTGGTGCCCCCGCCGCCGCCGCCGGCCGCCTGGCGCCCAGTCACCGGCCCGCGGCCCCCGCAGCAGCCTCTCGCGGGCCTCCTCCCCTCCCGCCAGCGACCTCCGCCTTAGGAGAGCGCGCCCATGGCCCTCGCGCCCCGATCCCGCGCCGGCGACAGAGCTAGCCGCGACGGACGCCTTGGAGCCCCTTCCCCCGCAGCAGCTCGCGCCCCGGCAGCCTCCTGCCTTCCGCCCGCCGCCCTTCCGCCCCTACCCCCGGCGCTCTCCGCCCCAGCCCCCAACGAGCCGCCTTCCCCGGCTCCTCCACTAGGTGTGGCGGCGGCGGCGGCGGCGTCTCTGGCGGCTGAGAACGAGGCGGCTTTCCGCAGCCCCGGACGGGCGCTCGGTCACCTGATCGGCGGCGCCGGCGCCCCCGCGAGGCCGGATGGGGAACTGCGGCCTGCGAGCCCTGCGCCTGACCTAGCCGCCGCCGCTCTGGCTCTGTCTGGGTGGGACAGCCCTCTACGCCTGACGCCAGGATGGGAGTCCCAAGCGGGGACCTAGTGGGGTGGCGTTCTGTGCTCTTTCCACCTCGCCCCACACCCCTCTCCTTCAAGTTCCCAAAAGTTGCCTTTCCGCACCACCCTCAGAAAGAAACGGGGAGAAACTCTGCTGGGAGGCTAGATATTTTCCAGGCGAGTTTTGCTTAAGAGTGGGCCGGTGGCTCCAAGCGCTTTTTCCTCCCACTGCTTGACAGGCGCTCTCGCAGAACACAGCAGATGTTGCGCTCCGCGAGGCGAGCATCGCCTCTGCCAGCCTCCCCAGCCCATCCTCAGTCTCCCCGCCAGGAGCCAGTTTGTGAGAGAGGAGGTCGGAAGTGAGGGTAATTCATGTCCCTGAGATTATCACGATCTGGACTTTGTCGGTGAGGAGCACTCATCCGCTGGAGATGCTAATAGGTCCTGGCCTGTAAAAGGCAAAAAATAAATGTTTGTTCAATGCATAAAGGAACCGGTCCCATTTTTTTCCAGCTTCCACCCTAAATCCCACCTCTTCTTGAAAACATTCTTCTTTGCCACCTCATTTTTTTTCCTGATCAATTTCTTCTTAGTGACACTCCAAGGTTTCTCCCTTGTCAAATGTATCAGACACGATTCCAAAAGTGAACTAATCGAGGACTTACGTAGTTGGGGTGAGAAACTTCAGCCAAGAGAACTCAGGCCTCTGATATTTTTGGCTTTGCCTTCTCTCAAGATGTTAATCTTTTGTATGATATTCATTAATTTTAAGTCAGTGACAAAATATCCTGCCGCATTCAATAAGACATTCTAAGAGTAATAAGCCATCCTTGGATTGATCAAAACACTTTTGAAAAAGAAATTGTAATGACTAGCTTACATTAAATTAACAAAATATTGTTGGAATATTGAAGTCTTCATTTTAATATTCCAACAAGAAAGAGGGAGTGGACTGAATGAATTTAATTTAACGGCCATTAAAAAGGGTCCTGTTCCCATCAAAAAAAAAAGTCATAATCATACCTGCCAGTGTGCCTGAAATTCTATATACAAAGCTGCAGTACCTTGAATGAATGCTTTGCATCTAAAGGGTCTTAAAAATACAAACACTTCAGAGAGATCGCCTGTCGAGCTATTATTAGTCATTAACTGGTCAAGGAATTTAATTTATCTGGTTACTTCTCAGCCTGATAACATTTCAATTTAGAGGAGGCAAAGTTGTGGGGCCTGGAATAGTAAGAGCAGACCTGAGAAGGTGAGGCTGCAAGGAGGGGTTTGGGGTAGCCAGATGAGAAAATTTAAAGATGCTGAACACTGGGGGAAATATGTGCTCTTTTAGGATACTACTAGCAACTAATTCTAGATGCAGAATTGCAGAGTTCTACCAATAAAAGATTACCTCATTTTCTAGTTTTTAAAAACTGCCTTATAGGGAGAACAAGAAAATGGTACTCTATTATAAATTTGAACACAACTCTTACTCCTCAAGAAAAACTATCATGTTGCCATATGAACTTGAATACTTGTAGTAGCTTATAACTCAGAGTACCCAATAGGAGAACACTGTAGATAGTGGTCTCATTATTCAATATTTATTGTCACTAATTTATAGACATACTATCACTAGACTGTAATGAAACATATCTATTTGAGTAAAAGAGACAAGGTGTAGATGAATTATAATTTTTGTCTTTCTCTACACTTTGCATTAAAAGGAATTTGTGATTGAGATCATATGTGTATATGCATTTTTTAAAACTTTTAAACTTTTTTGTCTCCCTATGTTGTCCAGGCTGGTCTTCAACTCCTAGGCTCAAGCTCCATCACACTTATTCTTTTGTTTTTTTTTTTTTTTTGAGACGGAGTTTCGCTCTTGTTACCCAGGCTGGAGTGCAATGGCGCGATCTCGGCTCACCGCAACTTCCGCCTCCTGGGTTCAGGCAATTCTCCTGCCTCAGTCTCCCAAGTAGCTGGGATTACAGGCATGCACCACCATGCCCAGCTAATTTTTTGTATTTTTTAGTAGAGATGGGGTTTAACCATGTTGACCAGAATGGTCTCGATCTCTTGACCTCGTGATCCACCTGCCTCGGCCTCCCAAAGTGCTGGGATTACAGGTGTGAGCCACCGCGTCCGGCAGCTCCATCACACTTATAACCCTCACACTTTGGAAGGCCAAGGCAAGAGGATTGTTTGAGGCCTGAAGTTCAAGACCAGTCTTGGCAACATAGGGAGACCCCCATATCTATAAAAATTTTAAAATTAGCCGAATGTGGTAGTATACCTGTGGTCCCAGCTACTCGGGAGGCTGAGATGGAAGAATCACTTGAGCCCAGAAGGTAGAGGCTGCAGTGACCTGTAAACACAACACTGTATTCCAGTTTTAGTGATAGAGCAAGACCCCAGAAAGAAAAGAAAGAAAGAGAGAGAGAGAGAAAGAAAAGGAGAAGGAGGAAGAGGAGGAAGAAGGAAGGAAGGGAGGGAGGGAGGGAGGGAGGAAGGAGGGAAGGGAGGGAGGGAGGGAGGGAGGGAGGGAGGGAGGGAGGAAGGAAGGAAGGAAGGAAGGAAGGAAGGAAGGAAGGAGAAAAGAAGAAATAGAGGCCAGGCACAGTGGCTCATGCTTGTAATCCCAGCACTTTGGGAGGCTGAGGTGGGTGGATCACCTGAGTTTAGGAGTTTGAGACCAGACTGGCCAACATGGTGTAACCTGTCTCTACTTAAAATACAGAAATTAGCCGGACATGGTAGCACATGCCTGTAATCCTAGATACTCGGGAAGCTGAGGCAGGAGAATCACTTGATCCCAGGAGGTAGAGGTTGCAGTGAGCTGTGATCATACCACTGCACTCCAGCCTGGGTGACAGAGCAAGACTCTGTCTCAAAAAAAAAAGAAATAAAGACTACATCATCCAGCCTCCCTTGCAGCTTGTGTTCTGACCCGTAAGATGTAAGCTGTCAGAAACCTTCCTAAAGAGACAGCTGCTGCTCCCCATTTGCCAGTTCTTCCTCACTTCCTTCATTCTGCCACACCTAACAAGGATGCAATGACCACTATCTTGGACCAAGAAGACAACAGCCACTCAGTAAGGATGACAAAACTAAACATGGAAGGTATATGTGGACTTCTTAGAACACAGCAGCCATATCATACTTGGCCTGTCTAGACCTGGTTTTGTATGAAAGAGAAATAAACTTTTAGCTTCTTTTATTTGGGGTTTTTTATTACTTACAGCCAAATGTGATCCTCAATAACAAGTTTCTGCGGCCAACATTATAGTATCTCTAATAGGAATAAAATGGGGTGATAACTAGATTTAATAGTTACTGTTTTTGCACTGTGTCAAATGTTGTTACCATTTCCATTATATTTTCTCATTTACTTCTCTCAAAAATATTTGGAGATATTATCATCTTTAATTTTACAGATGAGAAAACTGAAATGCAGGTAGTTTTTTTTTTTTTAATTGCCAAAGATCAAACTCATAGAAACTGGTAAAGCTGGTATTGGATCCCTTATCAGCCTGACTCCAAAGTTTGTGCATGCTCATAACTACTGTGATGAAACAGTAGGCTGATACTACATTTTCATGCATGCAGTGAACAGGATTCTGTAGTCTCCTCTGGAGTTGTATAACCTTGCCCAAACTTTTATAAATAGTTCCTTCATTTAAGTTCCTACAATTCACAGTTAGAGATTGCTATATTTTCACCTGACCAATACACCAGCTCTTTTAGGTGGCTTTCTTTAACTTTACTTTCTCCAGAAACTAGCATGAGAATTATTTCTGCAATGCCTTTTGCTAATCATGAAGAATGTTTATGCTTTCTTTTTTTTTTTAAATCACTTAGCTGACCCAACCCACTGTTGCTTCTTTGTATAAGGCAAGAAACTGAGAAAAAATGATTAAGGGCATCTCTATGGGTTCTTAGGATAAAACCCTTGGATTAGGAGGTCTGCTATCAAAGGTAGTGCTCCACTTGATCTTAAAGACAAATGTTTTTCCTCCCATTAAACTTCTAACCAGACGTTACTACTTAAGTATGACTGGAAATATATGAAAAATTTCTCTCTGAAACGGCCTGAGAATTGAGAAGTAGACATAGTAATTTTGTCTGTCCTTGAACACTTCCTTTGGGAATCTACTATCTTCTGACAAAATTGAATGCAGAAAGAGAAAGGGCTCAAGCTATGGGAAGAGTCAGACATAAGTGAATAACAAATTAATAGAATCTTTCAAGGAATTAGCTTTCTAAAAAATTGCTTATAAGACTGCATTTGGTGAGATCATAATGCAAACAGAGGAACTAACTCTGGGTGAACGACCATGGAAAAGGACAAGAGATTTCTCTGTAGTTTAATAGTAATGCAAGTCCTGTTTTCCTGCCTGGCAAAGATCACAAGGTATGAAATTTATTCCCAAAAAATTATTAGGAAAGACAATGAGGAAATGACAGAGTATGTTAGTATCTGTAGTAAATGAAGGAAGGAGTTAAGACTTAGCCAGAGACTGCAACTCAATATAGCAGAAGAGTAACTGAGATTGGCCTAAAGGAACATGAGATATCACCAGTAGTCAGTAGAAGAGATGCAGAAATACAGCTGATCTGAAAAGTTAAAAAATAATAATAATAAATAAAATTAAACCCTTGATCTTGACCACTCATAACCAATTAGATTCATCTTATAGCCTGCCTAATCTTTGGTAATATAACTCACACATGTTTATTTGTGCCTGCTCTACAAAACTATAGATGTGCCGGGCGTGGTGGCTCACGCCTGTAATCCCAGCACTTTGGGAGGCCGAGGTGGGTGGATCACCTGAGGTCAGGAGTTCGAGACCAGCCTGACCAACATGGAGAAACCCCATCTTTTAAAATTATTTAATTAATTTTTAAAAACTATAGATTTAGCTTTCCTTTTTTGTTGTTTTTTCTTTTTGTTTTAGAACTATATTAGGCTAGACTTATGCATGAATAGTATGTGATGGAATATATATCAGTAAATACAAATATTGGTTGATCTTTTCACATTTATAATTTTTGAACCTTAAGATGCTACATGGAAAATAGGCAATATCAATGGTAGAACAAAATGAGTTAGAATATGGAGTAAGCCTTTTGATGATACTAACTTTCAGCTGAACAAAAATAATCTATTTACATTTTTACATTTGGTCTACTCTAAATGTAAAATATTCTTTTGAATATTCTTTCAAAAATTTGAAAGGATATTGAATCTATTGAACTGGACCTTCATGGAAAGGCCTAGCATACAAATTTGAAGTTATCATAATTTGGATATTATTTGTAGCCAGGAGAATAAATTGAGATACTCTTTGAAGAGTATTTTTTTAAAAAGAAAAATAGTGTGCAATCC